TGGGGCAGAGCAGCTGGGGTGCTGCCGGGTTGGTCCAGTAGCACCCAGAGCGGCGCTGCGGGACCAACCGGCAGCGCCCCAGCTGCTCTGCCACAGGCGTCTGGAGAAATGCATTTTTTTGGCACCTTGAAAAAATTCTGCTTTAACATTATGAGGCGGGTTTCACTTGTTTATATTTCTGAACAATGCTCTGTGGCACACAACACTAAGCTTTTTTTCTTGAAGGATTTACATGCTTCTTCTATTCCCTAATTTCATTTGCACATTTTACATACTCCATATACTGAAAAGGGTTAAGGATATGCATACAGTTATTCTGTGGCTCTCTGACTTACTGTAGTCTTAACAGCCACCATAGTTATCAGTTTCAGTCCCATGTCATCTTAAATTGCTTTGCATAAAAGCTGTTTGGCATCTACCTTCTCTCCTACAGTTCCATGAAGTAGCTCTGTAGATTTCTGTAGATTCCTATTGGAACACTTCCTCCAGGCTGACTTATTTTTTCTTTAGAAAAATCTAATAATGTGTCATAATACTATACTGCAAAACTGCCAAAAGGTTCCACTTAAGATTTGTGGCTCCTTTGTCTACTGTGGGAGGAGTAATCTGAAGTGATGCTTCTTGTATAGAAGGTATGCTTGTCAATTGACCTGCGTTAACGCCTGCAATTAACGCAGGACAGGATTAACACGTTAATTTTTTTAACGCATTAATCACAGGTGTTAATGCTGCGCTCTCCTTTTGAAGTGCTACTCCGGTGCTTCAAAGGGGCAGTGCAAGTGGAGCCAGGGGATCAGCTGGAGTCCCCAGCTGATCCCAGGCTCCTAATGTGCTGCCCCTTGGAAACGCTGCAGTGGCACTTCCGAGGGGACTCCAGCTGATCCCGGGCTCCATTCAGCACTGCCCCGTTGAAACACCGCCACAGCGTTTCAAAAGGGGAGGCGTACGTGATTAATCGCCAGGGCTTGACAAATAATGCAATCTACTCACCTGTGGCGAGTAGATTGCAACCCGGAGGAGCCGGGTTCGGGCGATCTGCGCATGTGCAGAATGATTTTTTTAACACATTAATCAGCTTTTTGGTGCTGTCTGCCCAACAGGAAGAACACTCTTCCTTCGACTTCCCTTACTCCTCATGAATGAGAGTTACTGGGGTTGGAATAAGAAGTCCTCCAGCTCACCATTATTTCAAAATAACTGCTTGTAGTGTAGATGCGTTCTTTGTTATTTCGGAGTAGTGTCACTTATTCTGAAATAATGCTGCTGTGTAGACATAACCTTACAGTTAAAAGGTAGAGCAAGGTCTGAAATAACTAAAATAAATGCTGAATGTCCAGTACCTTTTTAGCCTCAGATCAATATATTTTAATGTGGTATGTGATTACATGTGACAAGGTACTTCTGAATTACTCAAATTGGGGTTCATAAAAAACTTCAGTAACCTGGAAAAATCTGTCCAAAAATCCTGAAAAATCAAAAGGAGGTATTTTCTATTGTATTCAAAGGGCACTGGATTAGGGCCTAGTAGAGAAGAGAGAAGGAAAAGGAAGGTCTGCATGGTTGGAAGCTTATCTGAAGTCTGAGTGAAGCCACTGTTTGTTCCTTGCTTTCATGAATGCCAAATTTCCAATTTTTAGCAATTAAAACTAAAACCAGGGGTGGAAAGCAATGTACAGAGTACCTTCTCATACTCCGCAGGTAATATGCAGATGGATTATTTGTTTGGCCTAAATGTGAAGATTTGTGAGTCAGTTCTCCTATGCAGGTTAATTCATCAATCCCTTTATAAAACAGAACTACTGAACTATTACCAAATCCATAGGCTGCTGGTTCAGCATTTTAATTAAAATATCACCCCCAAATTGAAATTTATCTTGTATGAGATGAATGTAATTAATTTTAGTTATGTGTTTAAATGGACCCGGTCTTCTGTGCTTCAGTTTCTGGTTGTTGGGAGTTTTTTTTAACCTAAGTTGTATATTTGCAATTTTACAAAAAGTGGGCTTTAAAACCTCCGGGTGAAGAATACAGTGTGGTATGATTATTAGTTGTAAAAGCTCCCAACAGACCACAAATCACTCTGCTTCTATAATAAATATTATCCTCTATTTACCTGTGGTCTATGAAGTTTTTTTGGTTTTGTTTTGTTTTGTTTTGTTGTTCTTGCAGCCTTGATACAAATCCTTGCAGCTGCTGAAGCTGGACGAGATGTGGTTTACTTTACCTTTGGAGATGCTGAGCTGATGAGAGATATTTACAACATGCACGCTTTTCTCACCGATAAGGGCCAAACTGTTGGTAAGCATAAAACAATCCCTCTCCACTGTGAAATAGAGAAGAATAAATCAATTTCCAGTGTGATAGCTGAACAGTAAAAAATGTAGTCACTAGGATCTTAAAGTTCTGGATATAAGTAAAGGAAACCTCAACACTACAGATCTATGAAAGAAGCTATTACTGCAAAAGTCATCCATAATAAACATGTGCCATCATTTAAGTTAGTGTATGGTAAGTGAAGGCCTGTCCGAGCTCCAAATAAAATTTGAAATGCTTTTCTGTCTTTTAAAAATATAGAACCCACATTTTTGTTCATTGTACTACTCTGGTCTGGCATTATGGGGTTTTATCCTGCAAGCTTGCATGCAGGCTTAAGTAGCCATATTTGAAGACATTGGAACCCATTGAGTGCCAATAGCAGCATAAGAGGAGCTAAATGCTTTGCCCTGCTGAGAGAAGTGTCTTTACTTCTTCGGGGGAAACAGAACTCCAAATTTAAGTCTTTCCAAATCAGTTGAGAAAATAATCCATTCTGTAATGATTTGTTTTAAAACTAGAAAGAATACATATATTGTTACTGTGACATGCATCACTGTTTGTGCAGAGCTCAGGTTATTTTGTGAAAGGAGCTTGCAAGCAATGGCTTTAGGGCAGGGGTGGGCAATAATTTGGGGGGGAGGTCACTTCAGTGATGTTGGTAGTGATTGCAGACCAGCCCCAGAAGGTGGTGGTTCCCTCTAGGCACCACAGCCAGAGGGAGAAGACTTAACATGCTGCTTTGGCCTGGCCTGCCAGGGGCATGTGGTGCCCTGAGGAAATCGTCAGCTGTTTTGAACAGCTGGTGGTTCCCTTTGGTGCTGCCGCGCCTCTGATGGGGAGAGGAGACTTCATATGCTACCTTGTGCCCGGTCTTGATTGGCCTGTGGATGGGAGTGCAGCAAGGGTGGCCACAGGCTGGATTTGGCCTGCAGCCCACATCTTGCTCACCCCTGGTTTAGGGTAAAGAACTGAGAAGCAGAAGGGGGCCCAAAGTCTTGTTTTCATCTTGCTAGTAAAGCACAAGGTGTGACATGGCCCCTTTTGGCCTACAGTTCCGGTCTGCAAACTGAAGTAAGAGCTGCTGCCCCTTCACTTCCCCTAGACAATGTTCCTGGCCACTGAATCCATGTTGCAAGCACATGCTTTGGCCTGCACAGTTTTTGGCTGTGAATATGCACAGACTTACATGTGAAGCAGTCATTTTAGACATAAGCATTGTTTATTCTTTCTCATTTTCAAGGGGATGTTTACAGGCTGTTGCTCCGGTATTACAATGAAGAATGCAGAAGCTGTTCTACTCCAGGACCAGATGTGAAGCTTTACTCTTTCATCTATAACACTCTTGAATCCTATATAGATTCCACTGATGAAGAGGAGAAAGGATTGTGTTTTGATGACTAAAAAAAAAGTGAGGATTTTTTTCCTCTCCTAATATATTGTTTGAATTGCTGGGTGTAATATATGGACAGGCTTAATTTAATATCAGTGTGTATAATACTGCATTTATAATCCGATAAACTATCCTAACCTAAAACCAAACTTTCAGTAGTGACATTTTCTGCTTATACAATGGAAACCCCATCCATCCATATATATATATATATAAAGGGTTTGTTTTGTAAATCTTAGTTGCATTTGCATGTCATCTTGTTCACCAGCAGATTTTAGTCTATATTTGTTACTCTTTGGAATCAACAAATACCAATTTGTGAAAACTCTCTCTTTAAAGAGCCTGTGACATGCAAATTTCCAACATAAAATGATTACTAGTAAACCCACTAGTAAACTCACTCACTCATAGGTGAAATGTTAGGAAAGCCCAGTAATTCCCCATTTCACAGGGAATTCTAACAGTTCCACTGCAGCCCTGGAGCTGCCATGGCACTTTTGCCTTTAATTGTCAACTTCTTAATTTCTGCAGCTTTAAAACCATCACAACTTTAAATGTGTTTTAAATACAAAGTTTAAAAACTGCAGCAATTAAGGGGAAGCAAAAATTAAAGCATCACCCAACTACTCTTCTGATGTTGGCACTGTGAGGAGAGATGGGTAATAGGAAGTTAGACTGGGAAAGAGGGGGCTTAGCTATAAAGTGGAGGGGAGAGAAACACTAACATTAGAGGAAGCAGAGGGAAACATTTCACATAATTTTCTATTCTTAATTATCAATAGTAGGATCCAAGTATTATATAAAACAGTGAACAAGTTCTTAAACATGATGATGTGTCAAAAATTACTCACGGTTTGCTTCAGTGATTTGTAATATTGCTGGAATTCAGCTATTGGTTAGATTTACAGCAACATATCAGTTATCATAGATCAGTTATTCTCTACCTAGTATATATACAGATATACTCATATAGGTATGTATAAATGCACATACAATAGAAATGAAACTAAGAAGTGATAATTACTTAGGCATTGGTGGCCAGGAAATCTCTCCATCCTACAAAAAAGAAAACATTAAAACAGCAACTATCGGTGGGAGTTGGTTTGTGTTTGTACCTTGAAGTATGAAAGAGATAACAATGGAGTAACGTCATAGGAAGTAGTGTAGAAAGTCTGCTGTTTTCATCTCCATGAGTCCAAAATGAATACAGCTGTTGTACAGTAAAGAAATGAACAAATGAGTTTCAAAGCTTCAGGAACGTAACTGTACCATAACGCCCCAGGAATGTATACTGGCTAAACTCGACGGATTTCAGTGAAAGTTTTGCCTCTGTAAGCAATCTATAATTTAGCCCCAAATTGGAAAGCATGGACTTCTCTCCATTAAGCTTTTTTGTCCAGACACATTGGTGGCAGCAGTAGCAGTAGTGATGTAGCTTCACAGGTGGTAGTAAGGCTGAAAGCTGTAAAATAGATAAAGCACGGTTGTTACCAAGGTTTTCGGCATGATGTCTAGTAGATCTCCTTTGAGGGTCTTAGATAACATGGTGTTTAAATACTGATGCACATTCAGATTCCGGCCTCCATTTAATCTCCTCCTGCTGCTCATACTGCTGGAGCTGAACTAGTGGGGAATTTGGGACTTTAAAAAAGATTAGTGCAGAGGCTCTGTAAAAATGTCTTCATGGTTATGCTAATGGTTGAATTAGGAAACATCAGCATTCCTTGTGATTTAATACATTATGGCACAGGTGATTTAACCCTGCAGTTCCCAACTCTTGTTCTTTCTGTCCATCCAAACCCATTGAAACACAAATTGAAAAAGAAATCTTGATAAAGAGACTTTCAGCACCTTTCTTTGATTTATACCTGTGGCTTTAGAGCTAAGGGGAATGTTTCTATCCCAGAAACTGCTCAGATTCTGATTGTGATGTAAAGACATTTTGCTCTAAGGATCATGTTTTTAGGATTTGACTCCAAATGCATCCCTGATAATGAACACAACCTGATCATGAATGTCTACAGAAAATTGAAGCTAAATGTCAAGTCCTGTTTACTTTGCTACTTATAGGTGAAAAGGATTTGGCCCTACCCCCCTGGAAGACAATATAGCGGCAAGTCCTGTAGTTAAGCATAACTTTTCCCTTTTTTAAAATAAATGTTTTCTCATGTCTGCAAGCATTGTGTTCATCTTTGGGCAAGGAAGAGAAACAAACTAGCTAATGAATTCCTTCTCGCTACTTCAGCCATGAAAATGGAAAATATTTGTAACTATAGAATAATTTTCTCAAGTTTATTTTTGACTGCACCATAGCGTATTCAATTCAGAGAATAAGATGTTTGTAGTGTCAAGAATTTCCAGAACAATCCATGTGATTACATTTATTTTGATTATTTTTTCTTAAAATTGTGGAGAATTAAATAATGGTGGAGCAGAGAAAGCCCCTATTCAAGCTCAGTTCTTTATGTTTCTCCCTTATATTTTTGAAATGCAGTTAATAAACTATTAGGTTTTTTTTCACAAGTTCTTACAGAATTCATTTAATTTATATATAGTCACCTGAAAAAATTGAAGTAATATCTTCTATATTCTTATGAATTTGGTTTTTGAAAGGGGAAAATTGGGGTCACTTACAGTATAATGTTGAGAACAGCATAAAGATTATATTTACTTGTGCAGATTTGAAGTAATATAGCATATGGTTAAAAACTTAAGAGCATTATATTCCCAACATCTTTGTTGTCTGCAAGAAAACTAAACTAAACCATCTTTGTTGTCTGCAAGAAAACTAAACTGTCCAGAGTGCTCCATGAAAGCCAGAAGAATAACTTTGGGTCAGTGTAATATTTGCTGTACCTCTTTCCTACCCAGTCACCATTATCCATTTCCGAACTTTCCTGAGCACTCTGTCTAGCTCAGGGGTGGGCAAATGGGCCTCCACAGGATGAATCCAGCCCACCAAGTGAGTTGTTCCAACCTGCAGAGGTTCCCAGGATGAATCCAGCCCACCAAGTGAGTTGATCCAACCTGCAGAGGTTCCGCTGTTCCCCCCGCCCCCAGGCCAATCAGAGCCAAGCGTGCAATGTCTCTTCCCTCCCTGCCCCCACTTTGCAAGGAGTGTGTGGCACTTAGAAGTGCTGTGCGCTTCTGGTAGGGCCAGAGGAGACTTCACACGCTCCTCCTGCCCCCGAGCCCTGATTGGCCTGGGGGCGGGGAGGGGGAGAGCAGGCGAAGTCTCCTCCTGCCTTGTGAGGGGTGTGGCACTTCTAAGTACCGCATGCTCCTTGCAGGATGGGGGCAGATTGGGAGGAGACTTCATGCACTCTCCCCGCCCACAGGCCAATCAGGGTTTGGATGCGGGGAGAGTGTGTGAAATGTCCTCCTGCCCGGCAAGGGGCTGAGCACTTAGTCAACTGCCAGCTGCTGCTCAGCTGGTAGTTGACTCTAAGCACAGCACTACATTACAGGGCACGAGGAGACTTTACAGCACACCCCCAAGCCCTGATTGGCCTGGGGGCAGAAGCGGGGAGCGCACAAAGTCTCCCACCACCAGAGGCACCCGCCACCTGTTCAAAACAGCTAGCAGTTCTCTTGGAGGGCTGGGGGGCGAGGGGCAAAGTCTTTGTATGCTCCCCCATCCCCAGACCAATCAGGGTCTGTGGGTGGGGAAGCACGGTAGTGCCCTGGCCCCATCCCTTCTCCCTGAGGCCCCGCCCCTTCCGGGGTGATCCCGGAGCCACTTCAAAAATTTCTGAAGTGGCCACTGGTCAAAAGTTATTTCCCACCCCTGAGCTAGCCAGAGGCACTTCTGGTGTTGCATTCAAAATGTTAAGAAATGGAGAGTGTTTATGGACTACTCTTGCAGTCAGAGAAGCTAGACTTTTACTCTCCCAGAAACCTGTGGAATGCTCTATTCTTTTAATTCTTAAAGAAGTGTATTTGAACATATGTAGCAAAAACAGAATTAAACTTCCTACCCCAGCAATTGTTTTATACTGTGTTTTAGCTGCAAAATAGAATGATCAGTCTGTAACTATGGTGGGCAGTCTGTTAGACTGGAGTGTGGTCTTATAATCAGGTGAGGGGGACAGAGTGCCTCTGTACTGTACAGCTTTCACCTAAATTCCTCAGTCAGTCATGTGTATCCATAGCTAAATACATTAGTTTACAGATTGTTGAAATTTTCTTGACACATTCTTAAACTGTTTATGCATCATATTTTGATTTTTCTGGATGCTATTGTTTACATGATTTTGTAGGAATAAAATATATAAAAAATTTGACCATAACTTTCTCCTCTTCATTATTTATGATCTTGATCTACGTCAGTTAAAATTGAGGTGGGTTGAGGTTGCCACTCTGTTTACACTGTACAATATTGGCTATGTATAACTGTTTACTACTAGTATAACGGACTTAAAATAAATTGTAACAGAGTAGTCCAGTTAAACCTTCTCTTGTTTGTCTGTGCGCTGTTGCTAAGTAGTGATCAATTATTTCATTCTTTTAAAAGATTACTATAAATTTCAAGGACGAGCTAAGTGACTTTTTGTAGGTATCTGACTGAATAAACTGTGTGTCTTAGTGTGCAAGTGAACGTATGATTGGCTAATAAATTCTTTAATTTCATTGGCAAGCAGTGAACAGTGTTATGGTATTCACAACATTGCTTTATAGAGAGTGTAGGAAATACAACAGTAGCATTCAAAAAACAAATTTTAAATAGCTACTGCCGTGTGTATTCTGTTTGCCCAATCAATTAGTAAAAATACCTTGAGATTCCCACTAGCTGGAAGGTGTGAGACTTATAAGAAAAGACTTTACGATAATTGTAAATAAATTTCAAGCTCAATTTTCTTCATTACAGAAGTGTGTGTACTTTCTCATCAAGTGTTTGATATAAAATTGTTTAGACAGTAGTCTAGAAGGCAGCAACCAACCCTACATGTTATGTTGGTCTGTCTGTCTAGAATTTATTTTAAGATCTGCCTTAATCAAACCCAAGCTTATCATCAGTACATATAGCTGTTCATTGAAGTCTTCCCCCCATGAATCATCTTGAATGAGGTCCAGTACGTACAGACACATTATTTCCTTATAGCTATAACAATGGAATTTTACAGATTTTATTGTTTCTAAGAAATGCTATGACAGAAATGGCAGTGATATCTCAGATTAAAGCAGGAAGTATCCAGCAAACCACAGCCTCTGAAAAATTGTTTGCTCATCTTGAGGATGAGGGACCAAAGATTCAGCTTGGTGCAAGTGAATGACAATTTGCCTTTTAATTGAATGGTAAAATATTTGCTCTAGCTTGTCTTCAGCCTGTCACACATGAACTAAGATTCCTGTTTTGCATATGTAAATATTCCTACAGAATGATCTTTTAAAACCAGATAATATCAAAGGCAGGTTGAAGTGCCTGCTTCCCCGCACACACCACATGCAAATCCTACATGGGCAGGATGCTTGCTCTCTAACATTGCCCCCTACTTCCTTGTTGATTGCCTTTTTAAAAAAAGTAAATATCATAGCCAGAGGCCATGTGTCTCATATGTAACTCAAAGAAATTCACCCTTTTGGTCATCAGTTTTATTAAAGGAAGCATCTGCTCTCTCTGATGGTAGAACTATTTGCATGAGGACACAACTAACCTGTCATTCAAACACTAACATGGAAAATCCACTGGTAGCCAAAAGCTTTTTTTCCCCTCTTTTGAGGCATTGTCATGTTAAAGAGCCTGTTCATAACCTTGCAGGATGCCCAGTTGAGAGCCTGGCACCCTCTCACCAGTTACCAATTGTATCAGTTCCCCCATACCATGCTCTCTGTTGATCCAGAAGCACACATGACACTGTTGATCATTCTTATTTTTGGACACTTATTTTATCTGCAAATGGCTATTAATGCATGTTATTGCGTGAGAATGTCAGATGTTATTTACTCCAGCTTTCTAACTGCAGCCTGCCAAAGGGGATCACCTGCAGCTGATTGGCCTTGGCCATCCATCTAAAAAAGTAGCATGGATTATTAGAGGATGTCATAGCCCCAGGGGCCCTAGACACATCAGCTGGGAGAAATATGCTGCTAAATTAAGAATGGCATATAGGAGTGAGAGAAGAAACCTTTCCACTCTGATCCTACAACATAGTTAGACCTAAGGTAGCCACCACTTATCACAAAGTGATGTGATGCTAGAACCCTGGGGTAGCAGCTTTGGTAAGTATGGATAGCTAATTCTTAATGGCATGTAACATCCCAAGGAATTTCTGTAACTAACGTTGAGGACTAACCAGAGTTGCACGGTTACTTTCCCAAGGATTTAGTCAGGTGTTGACTCCAGCAAGCGTTCAGTTTCCTAGTCCGTGTCTGTCCTTATTCATAGGAATCTCAGGCAAACAGGTTTCACAATTGCCAACATACACGCCCAGTGGTTTTCCACTTAACAAGTCTTTGCTTGGGCCTTGGAGTGGGGTTGAGGATGGAGTCATGTAGGACTTTAGATACCAACAAGCTGCAATAAACACTTCCATGTTTGCCAGCCTAATGTTTTTATCACTACAAAACAGGTGAGCTCTAATATTGCCATGAATGTACGTAATGTTTCAAAAATATCTATAGCCACATTTTCCACTGGTACGATCTGACACATTTTAACAAGTTTAAAAACATCCATAAAACCTTATAAGGCTCTCAGATGCTGTAGCTGTTTGGAGACTCGTAAACTAAAAACAGTATATTTATGGTCTTGTTTTGAGATTAACAGTATTTCATATTCAGTGTCGCAGTGTGACCTGGAACCTATGTAGGAGGTATCTCTCACTGATAACTCCTTTCCAGTAATACCTTCCATTTCTAGTTACCTAAGCTGTCAGCTGGAGATACAAAGCTATGAGGTTCTGATAAGTGACACTTGGTATATAGGTAAAGACAGCCATAGAATGTTGTAAGCACACTTAATATGGTATTGTGACAGGCCTTTGGACACTCAGCAGTCGTTAATACCTATGGGTGCTTGGTGTCAGTGGGGATAGACGTTAAATCTATTCCAACATCTAGATGAGAATTGCCCCAAGCTGTTAGCAGTACAGGGTACATGGTCAGCAGTTGTCCTTCTGTCCTATTAGAGGGCAGTGGTACTGTTGTGGTGTGTACACACCCCATCCCTTGGGGCGAGAATACCCGAGTGTGGATGCTGCCTAGTCGGCTGCCGGGTTGTCATCAATCCCTTTTAGTCTGTGAGAAACAATCCTCAGGCTAGGATAGTACAGCCTAATGGCTAAAGTTAATAGGGTAGCCCTTTCCTCAGGGCAGCACAACCCAAAGGCCAGAGTCAATAGGAGTTATCCCTTGACTAAGGGCTACACTAACAACCAGAGTCAGTGAAAGGGGGAGCCCTTAACTCAGGGCAGCATGGCCTAATGGCCAGAGTCAATAAGTTAGGGGCAACAGCCCCGATAAGGGGACCCAGGCCCACCCTACTCTAGTAGTCCCAACCCAAGGGCCCTGAGTGGCAGAGCATTCTACCACTCGCTCGGCAAGGAATCCAGACAAAACACACCAAGCTCCCCCGGGTGGGAGATACCACTCCAGCACCCTCTGGGTCACTTTCTACCGGTGTTGGTGGGGCAATGTCCCATGTGGTTTCTAGGTGCTTTTGTTTTCCTGCAGCTGGTTCTCCCTGGGGCTCCTTCAGCACTGGTAGCTTGCCGTGGTCTCTGGGGTTCCTGGCACCTGTCATCTGGGTTGCCATCTGGCGT